CGAATCGCAGTCACAGTGTTGTGTGAATTACTGAAAGACGGGCTGAGAGACTGACTGAAGTCTGAGCTGCTGGGTGGAGCTCTCCTCCTCTAGTAGCCGTTGCTGTCTCCATCTATTAGATAGCTCATTCTTCACATCTCTAAATGACAGAAGAGGGACGGTTGAATGGTTCTCTGTGTTATAAAACTTGTTGTAGTGACTCTAAGACTGGACTGCCTAAACCAATAAAATGTTGTTAGTAACATAATTGAGCCAAGTGCATCCTATACTCACTTTTAGCATTTTTCACTTTACTGAGGGATTTGTTGTCTAATCTAAAGTACTGTATTATCTATACTCACTTTTAGCATTTTTCACTTGACTGAGGGATTTGTTGTCTAAACTAAAGTACTGCATTACAATTTCAGAATTAGTACAATTTCTTTTAATCTATTGCCATATAAGTGTAGTGTAGGTATTAGTTAATGCCACTGTCTTGTAAGATTAGGAAGAAATGGTTTTGTGTATTGCACCGCTTCTCCTGTGATTTCTTATGAAACAGTGCTAAAGGAGGATGCTCTACTTTGCTGGGTATTTTTAGTGTAAGAGGAGCTTCCCTCTCCCGCTCCATGACAAGGGCACCATTCATAATTTCTGTCAGTATATGCATCCATAAATTACATTACAGCAGAGTGTGTAGTCCAGGAGCAAAGCCTGTAGACCAAAGAGTGGGTCAAGGGACAAGATTCATGAGAATGGGGAAAAATCAGTCAGTGTTAATGGTGAGTGGCTCTGAATTTAGAGTGCAGATTTGATGCCTTTTTATTTTACATTTGCTTGACTACTCGATTAGCACTATTAATAATAAATGAATAATACTTTGCAAGCCACTTATAATGTGTCACTTTGTTCATAGTAATCCTGGTGAACTTTAAATACCAAGGGTCAGTTCATAACGTTGTCAGTGCTTTATCCTGCAGGAGCAATTATGAATTAATTTATAAAAGACTTGGAGAAAATGGTAAGCATGGAGGTGAAAGCCTTTGACTTATTAACTATTCAAATTGTGTGCACGTAGACTCCAGATCCTTTGGGTGTTCTCTGCAAGGAAATGAGCACGAGGACATCTTGATAAAAAATAGAATATAGTTTCTGCAAGGCATTAAAAGGCAGGCAATTGGAAATATAATAGAGGGCATGGTTACTTTTATATCTATTAAGTGAAATTGAGATGTAATAAGAAGCAATACTGTAATGTTTGTATTGTTACATTCTCTATAATTTTGTCAGTCTTATGAATTTTTGCATCAGTGTAATCAGATTAACACTCATAGAATAAGAATAATCATATTCTCTTTATGTTAATGTGGTGATAGCAGCTGGCAGAATGATGTCTCTGTGGCTCCATGTGCTACTTAGATTACAGCCCTGGGCTATTAAATAGATGTACAATAATTTGCTTTATGTTTGATGTAAATTAAGTTTGTTTCATCTTCATAATAAAGATGTATTGATTGAGTCTCTCTTTCTTGTGTACCGTTAGGGCTCTGTATGACCTAACATGAGCTACATTCATTAAATGTAGAAGAACATCCACATGATGTAAATAATACACCTGACCTTGACATGACTCGACATGAACAGAAGGATAGTTCCTAGGTTTTCAGAATACACAAACAACCAAAACACCATCGCCTTGTTTTCTATTACAGGAGCCACCACTGGACCATGTGTGTTCCAGGAAAACTTAACGGTGATTGTAGACATACTGTGGTCCTGCGGGAAACTGACCTTGCTTTAAATCAGACAGAGATAAAAGGCTGATGTTGTGCTCGGAGTGTCATTGCAGCAGGACTGGGTAGTTTAGCCACTCGATATTTTCTCAATGCACACGTGCTTTAATTCTGTTATTTTCAATTGTCCTGAGAGGTCAGAATTACTTCCAGCTTATCATTCAATGCCACTGACAAACTGCATGCTTCAAATGCACAATAACACTAGCCCACGAGGCTCAAGATAATAAGGTGAAGTAAATGCCAGTTTGGTGTATTTATGAGGTTACTGCAGCCTCAGTATTTTCTTGCTGCTTTATTGGCTGTTTCATTTGAGCTTTGGGGTTACTTTCAATAGCATCACAGGTTGTTAAAATCTAATTGTCATTCTTTACAATTATTGTGCTTTCTTTAGCGTTGCCATACTAATCTACCTTATATCCCAGAATGGCAGTTTTTATTCTCACAGTAATTGTTGATTGTATAAATAAGGCAGAGATTTTGCACATGCATCACCATTTCGGTTTCTGTTCACGCATACTGCCAAAGCAGAAAGAGTCTAAAATGTCTTGCTGCCAGAGAATCATTAATGTTTTTGTGGGACCTCAGTTTAATGGGCTGGCCATGAAACACCCTATAGCAATGTGAGGCGATGGTTTAGATTTGGTACTTTTAAGAATAAGGAATTATATTTGTAATAAATATGTTACTGGTTTTCATTATAATTTAACTTAAGTTACTTTATTTTTTTATTATATTTTTCCTCTCACTTTACCAGGTCAGGAATGTTTTGCCATTCACACTGCATAAAAAGTGTTGCACTTTTTTTGTTTGACTGGAGAACACTGCATGTTTTTAAAAACTATAAAGCATGAATTGATTTAATAAAAAACAGAAACCTGGCATCAGATGTAAGGGGACTGTATCATATGGGTGCATGTTCAGTACAGTACAGTAATTGCCATATGATTACTGCACTGAACATGTTCAAAGCATCTGTAAAGAGCTTGCTCCTCACAGTTGGAAATCGTGGCTGTGGCTCCAGGTAGCTCAGGTGTATCTGTTTCAGAACATCTCCTGCCTTTATCTGTACTCTGCATGATCGGCATCCTCATTTCTACAATGCATGAGAACACACACAGTCATTTATTCTGGTAATAATCCGATAAAAGCTACAAAATTGAAGCATCTACTGTATGTATATCATTAATTGAATTCTCATCCACACTCTGTTGCGTTCTCAAGGGCCATTCTGCTTCAGACTTTGGAAGACTGGTTTAAACAAACTGATCTGATCAGGTATGGACCAGTACTGCTTAGTTTCGTGTCCATCCACCTCCTCAGTTGTTGTGTGACAAACTGGTGCAGTAATCACAGCAGTGGTTCTCTGGCTCTGTGCTGCTGCTGGTATTGCAGTCAATCATTAGAGCTGTATCCTCTCCAGATGGCGCCTGCTTTCCCTAGTCTCTATTAAATTGTCCATGTTTAGAGTCCTTGGCAAGCTGCTTTTTGGCCATTTTCATTTCTTAATATTTAGTAGTAAACAAACATAATTCAATGCAGGGAGCTTCTCAAATCTGCTAGTGATTATCAATGGAGATATTGTTTATATTTGTAGACCTGCTTATTGATGTAGGAAAGGTAATAAAATAAATAATATTCAGCAGTCACATAAGTGGGTTGTTTCTCTTCTCTCAGACTTAGACCCAGCCATGCCTGAAACCAAGGCCAACTCCTGTAGACAGCACTCAGAGAGCGCAAACCTCCTGGCTTTTTACAGTCCGTCACTTGATGACCACTGCCATTGTGGATGGAGTTGCATGCAAAGAAAAAAAAACTGAAATTGGCTCTGGTGAGAAATCCTTGAAAAAAATTCCTAGATCCAACAAAATCTAATGGATTGTTCTCTGGGCTATATCCTACCCCTCAAGAAAATCATCTAAATCCATTCATTGCCTTTTGAGTTATACTATGAACAAACCAATAAACGCCAGTAAAAACATAACCTCCTTGGTGGAGCTAATAATGAGTAGCTGGCTGCATTGGAGTGTTTGCATGAGGATCCAAGTGAAAAACATGCTCTCACATTACTGTAAGATCTGAGATTATAATTACCCTCCCGGGTTTCATCATGTGGTTTCTGCAGTACTTATTCTCTGAAGTGACTTCCGCTACTCACAGATACTAAAGCGACTGTTGCTTTACCTGTAGGCCCACAATAATCTTTAGCAAATACTTATCAGAGGTAACTTTTGGCTTTTTAGATGGACCTATCTGATATAATTTACAGTGTTAAAACTTCCACAAAAACAAACATTTTTTTTCTGTAAAGATGGGGGGGGGGGGCTGTAAGTCCATGTGTTGTCTAGAAAAGAGCATCTGTTGTATCTGTGGAGGAGCTGAATGACAAAGACTCTGTGAGGCTTCCACACCAGCCTGTATAGAAGAGAGCTCGTGCAGTGCTTTCACTCCTAGTTCTTTGTGCTCGTCTTTCCAACTTTGTATGAAGGAAAAACTCAGGGAAGGAGAGGGTCTATTGGAGAGGAACTTATGGCTATGACAGAGCCACAGTCACAGGCGGACTCATTCACGACTTCAACTTCATAGAAAATTTGCTTCTCAGCCGTTCTCTACTCTGGCTCACAATGGGCCTGTGGATGAGCTGTGAATCTCCAGCACAAAAAACTCTTTGTGTTTTGCACGAATTGTGTCAGTGTGAAGATTTGAACTTTTGCCTTTATATCCAGCTATGGAAAAAATATATAAAAAAGTCTTTTGGCATTTCAGTAGAATTTGTAATATACAGCACTATAGCTGAAACAGTCGCAACTCACCAGAAAACGAATCTGCAGCTATTTTAGTTCATTGTTATGCTCATTTTATAGCAAACTGAGTTGGCTTTGAATGTTTTTATTCACAAAACATCATATATACTATAGGTGATGTGTAAGTAAGAGGCAAGGATCCTTTATTAGCTGGTCCTATATATTACATTCACCCCTGTCCCTGTCAAAGCCTAGGTCAATGAAGACGAGAAACGCTCTGCTGTATTACTTTCTTTCCTTTTGTTTGCACATAGTCTCACACCTGAATTGATTCATCCTAATTGCAGTATGTGATAAAACACCCACTGATTTGTGTCACAGCGAAGTCTGCTTCTGGGGGCGAGTGCAAACCAGGAGAAGAGCGAATAATGATGCAGCAATGGAATG